CGGGACCGACAGAAAACATTGTTATATCATTATTTTAGGGTTTGGACGACAAATAAGATGCAAAAATCATGTCTTGCCATTGGGGTCGTTAACAACAACAAGATTCCATTTATAGAGCGCCTTTCACATCGGGAGGATGTCCCAAGGCGCTGGACAGTTGGGTCAGGACCCGATCAGGGGGGTTAAAACCAAGGGTTTGGTATAAGCAGGGCTTGTTATAGTGAGGTTTGACTGTACTTATGCCCAGCAGCTGCCCTTCCTTGTCTCTCAGTGGGGATGGGATTGAAGATCATTGTGAGTGCTTGATATCTGTTTCAGACCACCTTCTGAGCTCAGTGGAGAGTCGAATGGAACCTTGAATCGTGAAGCAAGATTAGTTGCTAAGCCTCGCTTCATCAATGGACGGTAACCCCTCTTCAATTGTGCCTCACCCCCTGCTTCAAGTGGTTGGTAACTTAAGGACATGTTGAATGCTGACAGCTTTCAGACCCCATACAGATGTCTGAGACGCATATGCAGTACAGGGATTTATGTCCGTTATTCTTTAATAAGAAATGTGTATTGATCGAACCATTAAAAAATTCAGCGTGAGGAAGAATATGTTCTTTGCTACATTCAAAGTTTTAAAATTTCAATTTCAATTTCTTAATAAAAAATCCTGTCCAACAATTGTCCAGATAAATCATTCATTTCATGGTAGTAGTAAAACATTGCTTTGCACAAATTGGCCGCTACATTCACCTACAGATACACAATCACTACAATTTACAAAAATTACCTGTGAAGCACTTTGAGACATTTCGGTTGTATGGGAGTTATATCAATCAAGTGCAAGAACTATTATTCAATCGGTTAAGAAATACTGCAAGTTAGACTGCACTTTTCAATGGGGTGGGTGGGGTGCGGCATAGTGTCTCAGATGGATGGCCCTCATGATACAGTGGGTATCTCTCTCTTCAGTGAAGAATTCACATACTAAAAGGATAAGTTTGATTTCTGGTGTATCCTGAGCAGGCTGAACTCAGCCAGGTAATAGTCAGGGGCAGTACAATTAGTCTCAGAAATGGCAAAGACAGTGTTTTTGATTTCAATGCAATGTCCTTTGCTTAAAATTGTGTGCATGAGAGCAGAGTTCGATTTGGCTGTGATCTTTTCCATGGTCAAATAGTCAGCCATTACTGACTATATTGGCTCACAATAAAAGAACAGCCAGTTGGGTGAGCTATCCGAGGGTGTTTAATATCCTGAGAACTGAACGGGAGATATAAAAAATAAAAATCTGAAAAAAAAGGGATGAAATCTCACTAACAGCCCCTTATAAATAGCCCTTTCAAAGAGATAGTCTCACTTTTTCAGCTGCTGGTTTTAAAAGCAAATGAACCAAATTACAAACAATTAATTTTAACTTTAGCATTCTTTCAAAATCTACCGCAGCCTCTAAATTACTATTTAGTCCTTCTTCCAAACTGCAGATAATTCTCTTATTGAACCATTCTGTCAATCATGCGACAATGTTAATCTTCACTGATGGTAACACAAGACATCAGTCTTCAGTCAGTGTAATCTCAGTTGCTCCGAGCTGCCATTAGCATTGTTTTCTTATTACTGAGACTGCAGAACACATTATAAAAGTGATGGATGCAAAGTGACGGAAGACTGTAATTTAATCTCAGGGTTCAGAATGCACCCTGAGCTTCCCTCTCCTATGGTTTATGATATCATCTGAACCCCTTAATCACATTCCAGCCTGGTACTTGCTGCCAAATGCCATAATTCTAGTTCTTTATCTCAGTTGTATTTTACTCATTTTACTGAACGAGGAGCTGAATCAGCAAAGATGAGTAAAGATACAGGGCTCTATCAAATGTTCATCACTAAAAGTAGCCATCTTTTTGGCAAGACTATATTAATGGGTGTGTTTGTGGAGAGGCTCCATTATCAAAACCTAACAAAGAGATCACTAATTTAGCAACAGGATATCGTAGACACCAATGATTAGTGCAGGGTGCTGGCCAGAAGTACTTACTTAACCTGACAGTGTGAGGGAGCTGGATATACAACACAACACAATTTACATTGATATGGCACCTTTCACGTTGGGAGAATGTCTCAAAGAGCTTCCGAGCTGGGGGAAAGATGAAAGCAGAGAGGGAAAGATGACTTTAGCAGAGATAAACTCATTAATATATTGAGTAATATATGTGTACCCTCCTACCCTACACTACACACCCTCCTCTTCTCAGGGTCAGTATCTGTTCCATGCAAATTCTCCTGCTTCGTTAGACATCACTGTTTTAAAATAGTTGGAAGGTATCCCACCTCTGTGACCATTTCAATTAAAAGTAGCCATCCGTGGTCTGGCTTTCAGCCTCTGCCCCCATCCTTTGGAACCCCATCTCACATTCCCTTTGCCTTGCTCCCTCCCTTGCCTCCTTCAAGGCATGTCTTAAAACCCTCCTCTTCGACTTTGGCCACCCTCCTACCCTCCCTGCTCTCCATCCTCCCTGATCCGAACCCCTCCTGCTCAAGTCCAAATTCCTGACTGTCCAGCACCGTGGGACATGAAAGGCACTATACAAATGTAATTTGGTATTCTATCTGCAATTGCAGTTAATGCTAAAACATTAGTCACATTATACATGAATGTTACATAACTCAATGAACATACACAAGACAGAAGATAGATTAGGGGCTAGGATGGAAACAACTGTGAATCCAATTATATTTTCACTTGACCAGCATTATTCTAGAGCAAGGGGTGGGTTCACTTTATACCAACAACAACTTGCATTTATACCCCATGCAGGATAGCGTCCCAGAGCGCTTGACAGTGGTGGAGCACGGCACTGAGCTGGAGGGAGGGATAAGTGATCGTAGTGCATGTTGAATAGGAAGGTATTCAGGATTTGTGCGTCATTCGCATACAAGTGAAAGTTTACACCATGTCTGCGGATGACTTCATCAAGAGGGAGCATATAGATGAGGAAAAGGAGGGGGCCAAGGATTGAGTCCTGGTGTACACCACAGGTGACCAGGTAGGGGCGGGAGGAGAAACTGTTTGAGGAGATAAAGTGAAGGGGGTTTGTTAGATGGGACTTGAACCAGACTAGTGCAGTCCCACTGAGGTGGATGAGGGAGGAGAGGCAGTGAATGAGGATGGCATGGTCAACTGTCAAATGCGGCAGCGAAGTCCAGGAGGACGAGGAGGCAGAGGCTAATTTGACCTTGACAAGCGCCGTCTATGTGCTGTGCGCAGGGTGGAAACTAGACTGGAGGGGCTTGAGGAGGGAGTTGAGGAAGAGGTGAGAGCAAAGCTGGTTAGCGTCAACTCGTTCCAGAGCATTGCAAGGAAGGGCAGGTTGGAAATGGGTTGGTAATTTGTGAGGTTGAAGGGGTCAAGGATGGGATTTTTTGAAGAGAGGGATGACAGCGGTTTTAAGGGGGAGAGGTACAGAATCTGAGAACGGCTGGTTGACTGTGTCGGCCAGCAGCAGGGAGAAGAGGGGGCGTTTCGTGACCAGCAACTGGGTGGGGATGGGGTTGAGGCAGCAGGTGGTGGGCTTCATCTGAGAGATGGTGGTTGAGAGGGAGGTCGGAGTAATCGGGGCAAAGGAGTGTAGGGAGGGAGGAGTGGTAGCAGCCATGGTGGAAGGAGGGGGTGGTGTAGATGTTCTGGGGGGTGTGGAAGGGGATGTAGGGGACGAGGATGTAGTCAAGCTGATATTTTCAAGGACCTCTTTGCACTTGGTGTTTGAAGTGAAGCAATTCCAGGAGCAGTTTCTCATGCAAACATTGGCAAGTTTACTACAGCATTTGGAAGTTGGATTTGGGCAGATACTATTTCTGCTCTGACTTCAAATAGAAGTTTCAAGACACAGAGCTAGCTAGCCCAGCCATCAAAGTCAGAGCAGAGACAGGTCATGAATGATGGTGGGGTCAGAGCCAAAAGGTCAAATGATTATTAGCTGCAGGAGCTAACCCCAGGATTTGTGCAATTGGCTTCAAATCTATGGAACTGAGTTCCTCTTCAACCAGAGTTGAAGCCGCTAAGCAAGTTAAAGTCTATGAGTCTAGAACCAAGAGCCTTCTTCCACTGGACCAAGCAGTAAGAAGTGCTTTTATCATTTTAAAATCAATCAATAACCTAAACTTTCAATTTGAATAACTGCAGTCATGAGGGGAGGTTGCCTACAGGAGAAAAAAAAGCTAACGGAGTTGGCTATAAAAAGGATTTGATAGCTAATTCCAATTCTGGAGCCAAAGTGGACACAAGGTAAATTCTAATGATCCATCTCATTTAGGTTTATCACACAATAGCCAACATTGTTGACCAGAAAATAGTATGATCAATCCAAATTACACAGCAATAATGGATAACTAAGAATTGCATCAGGCACTGATCTATCACGAACTGTAATAGATCATGATAGTGATGTGTTCTGAGGAAGTGTCGTGGACCCGAAATGTTGACTCACTTTCCTTTCTCCATAGATGCTGCCTGACCTGCTGAGTTTTCCCAGCTTTCTCTGTTTTACTTTAGGTAAGTTGTTTATAAGCATCACCTGAACTTGGAGATGATATTGTAACTTTTATTCTACTTTGTTCAGTTGTCTAGTCTGATACTGAGTATCATGCTATAAACCCTTGACTATCCAGCAACTTGGGACATCCTCCTGACTTGAAAGGTGCTAAATACAAATGCAATTTATTATTGTTGTTGTGGTAGACAGCAGTGGCTATTGTATTTGATATAAAATGAGACACACACACAGAGGAATAATGATAGGGATATTGTTTTAACAAATGATAATCACCAGTAGATTTGAAGGAAATAATACAAGTTACACATTATAAATAATAGGGTTAGTATACATTCTAAAACATAATAACGGCATCTTAGGAAGATCATCATAGATCAGTATATTCTGGAATAGGATTTAAAAGCGATCAGAGTATAGAGCATTGCACAGTTGATGGTGCCTTATTTCTGTTAAATTTTCTCACTTCCTTACCTGAAGGAGCTGACTCACACTGGGGCATGTTTCCATCGACACTGACAATTTTCTGGTACCTGGCCCAAGTAGTCGTTCCTCACATGAGCGCTTAAAACAGTGAGTGTTGGCAGGCTGTTCCGACTTAGTAAGAATATCACAATCAAGGGCAATCCTCAACTTATTCCACAGACACGTACAAGCTTTCCAACAGGTGTCATTGGTTAGTGACGAATTATTGTTCTAATTATTTTCTCCTCCTCAACTCAGGAACACTGATACCAATTACAATATACACAAATGCCATCCCAGCTAAGATGAGATAAGTCAGCACAGACCTAGCTTCAAACAATAGATAAATGACTCAGCATCACGTCACTAGCTCGGTTTATTGTAAATTTTTGATCAGGGCAATTTGAGGCTATATCTATTTCATAATTAGAGTACGTGTACTATTACATCACATTATCAGTACATTACAAGACCGTACTCCAAATAAGAGCGTTGGGTGACCTCACATACCTAAACAGTGTGAATTTTGAATCTTACCTGATGTCGGGACTGGTGTTTTATATCCATTTAATCTTTTAACACTGATAACATATTTATTATGGCAAATGTTCTTTGTAAATAGATTTTAGTGCCATTGGGGTTGAAAAAGTGCATCTCAGGAAATGATTTCTCGGTGCCAAAAAAAGTGTTTTCTAAAGCACAAACCCCTCCTCTCCCCCCTCACTATACTAAAAAAACTTGGCATCAGCCTGAGATTAAAAGCTGAGTTGTTGTGAGCCAGTGAGATGTATATAGCTTCCCCACAGAAAATGCAGTTCACAAGGCAACTTACTGTTTCCTATCGCAAGACTCCAGTAACATTATCACCTTCCCAAGTAGCACATCAATTTTCTAGCGGGTGAATTTTTTTTTTTGGGGGGGCAGTGTTTTTCAGGTATCACTGCAGAGTGACAGCATCATAGAATGGGTGGTGGGGGAGGGGGAACAGAGAGCGGGGGCATATTAACAAGGACATTCAAAAGGCTATCACCAACTTTGAGGTACAGCAACTGAAGGTCCCATTGGATGATTCCTTTTCAAGAAAAACAACAGATTGCGGAAAATACCACTATTTCATAAGTATATAACATGATTACAGCATTAGACTGGAGTATGCGCAACAATGCATGTTGCGGCTGTGATACTGGGTTTACATTGGAGCCAATGCATAGGGCAAGAGTATGTGGTGATGAACTCTACTGAACTGCATCCCTCTGCTTTAATTATAACACACAGAACTGGTGGGACTCAGCACGTTTATCCAGCATTAGACAAGGCTTAATGTGATCATCATTCATAAGCTCAACCCCAAAAGGAATTATCCAGTAATGCCATTTTATTTAATTTGATCATTTGATGGTCATGCGGGTCGGTTGTCAGTGAGGGAGAAGCACAGCATCAGAAGGGATCTCAAACACTCGACCACAAAGTGTGGGAACACAGATAGTCCTAGGTGTGCACAGTGCCTCAGGACATTTCCCTATCTGTCCTTTTAAAGCATGCAATCTTTGGATTCTAAGAGCAATCATCTTCTAAAAAATAAAGCTATTCTCAGCGGGGCATAAATAATTCGAACATAAAATGAGTTAATCCCAGCAAGGATTCTGCGTGTGAAACACTCCCCTTCCCACATTCTAGGATTATTGTGTGTTTGGGCCCCTGAATGTTTAATAGTCAAAGAATGGGGACACTCTTGAGGAAGAGACCTTAAAAATATTGGGCTCACAGAATGGGACAAGACTTAAAAGATCTGGGTTGAGCTATCCTGTTCTTTCCACACTTCTGGCTTAAGTGAAGGAGATAAGTGTTCAATGTTGTTGAAACCCATGCACTTAACCAAACCATTACTACATTCATATTGGCTTTGAAGGGAATGAATAAAACGGGGTTTTGGCTTGTACTGTATATACTTTAGCAAATCACATTAAAGGAGTTATACTAATTAAGGAGCAAACTGCACTATACTTCCAGTTACTGTTTTAACACAATGGCAAATTGGTTGGATCTCTCTCAAAACCTTTTCCCAGTCCACGTTATAGCATTGTGGCAGTTTTTTTTTCTTTTTCAAACAAATCACAGTTGAGAGGGGACTCACGAACAAGAAAAATGTCAGGCTCTTCCTTTTCTGTTGAAACAGTCTTGCTTACTTCCTTTCAAATAACATTGGCTACAATGGCCATGAAGGTGTAGAGTGATGTGATGGTGAAGGGTCTCGTTGCAGAGAGGCTCTGGCCGTTAGTTCCAGAATTGACCTTGCAATCAATTATTTTTTCAAGTAGCTCTTTCCCTTGAGAAACCTGTTTTTGGCTTCCATGCTCGCAGTCCTGCAATGGAATCAGATAACAATCATGGCCAAAGTCCTTGGTTTTTGTGTCTGTGTTGCACTTAGATTTCTGTGCAGTGAGTTACAACACTCAGTTTCCCCACGGGGCCATGGAGTTAATTCAGATTCAGACTTAGATGCAGCAGTGCTTTGTCTGAGAGCTCTTAGAAGACAGAAATTGATGTGAGTTTGAACAATCTCAATTAGGTTCAATCTCAGAGGTTATTAGTAGAATATGTACTCATACATTCTCAGTTTAAAACACTTGAGACTCCATTGTTTACGGCTCTACAGGTGACTCTCAGTCAATGCTTGGTAATAATAATAATCCTTGCATTTGATATAGCGCCATATCACATTGTTGAGACGTCTCAAAACGCTTCACAGAATATATTGTAACGTGGATTGGCTGCATATTTTGTGGACAAAATGTATTCAAGTATGGAAATTATCAATGGTGTCTGGTATGTGCTCCACTCTGACAGTGCTAGAAATTGTGTACTCCTGGGGATTGATGTTATATTTCTTTTCTTCAACAAATAGCACACATTGTGATGCTGAAGAACCATTCAATATTAGAGTTCCAAAGAGATCTCAAAAGCACCATTACTGTAATACTAAAACTAATAAAAGAACACTTCACTATTGGATCTGGACCTGTATAATTTAAGTCATTTTACATTCTTGCTTTCCTATCTTCTACATTGCAACTTTCATTTTGATTTCTTTTCTTATTTAATCTACAAATATTTAATTTGCCGCCGTCTTCTCCGTCCTGAGGCGTACACTCCGTTTTGGTCGTGGGATTCACTTTGGTTCTCAATGTTTCCGATCAACAGAAAATTAGAACACTGAAGTTTGACCTGGATCCATATATTACAACAACCAGTTCAAACCTATGATGTTTGTTTCAGATAAACTACATACCAATGAAGTTGGGCAGATTGAAATGAGTTATCTCAAAGCAAACACCTGAAGTTTAGGATAAATAACCTGTTTCCCCCCGCATTAACTTTGCTTCTCAGCATTTAATATCCTGGAACATGTCCCTCACCTAATCTTCTCTCTAATGAGAACCGGTCCTATTCTGTCAGACAAAGTGAAGGTATGTCCCATTCTTTAACTAACTCACTCATTCATTCATAACACTGGTGAGATTGAGGAAACAGCTTTTACCTCTTCGGTTTCCAGCGTGAATAACATACCAGCATCATTATTTGACCCTTCCTTGTTCGGGATGTTGAAGGGAAAGCGTTGAGTCGTTGTCAGCAAAGACAACAGGCTACTGAATGATGAATTGGAGTAGGCATGAATGGAGTTTTCTATTGAAAAAAACAGACCAAATTATGTCAAGCTTCAGGCAGTGAGGCTGGAATACTTGTAATCCTATAAATTACATTAATTTGGTATGGGTGAAATTTGCGTATTTACTTACTTAATTATTAATTATTTAATTGTGTATTTACTTACATGGCTGCTTTCCACACCAACACTCATTAGACCTTTTGAAGTGAGATTATCAACTTGTAAGCAGTGTTGTTCCAATGCTACCTCATATTGCATCTTAAACTTAAGAGGAAGCATCACCTTCACTTTAGTGGTTAGATTGGTTTACCAATACATTGGGTCACCTAATTGTGCTATAGTTCAAATTGGGATGTAAATTTGCATCCCCCCAGGGAGAGAGTATACATTGCATTCTAACAATCTATCTCTGGAATTTCCATGTGGACGTAGTGATGGGTTTCCACATGTGTCAGACACCCGGCTGACACTCCGCCCACCAAAAAACAATTTCTATTAGTGTAGTTAGTGTGACAACCTAAAATCAGGTTAAGATGGTCCCAGTGTCATCAACTGTTCTTACTTACTGAGGCAACTGTTGTTTGTGAAGAAGTTCAAAAAGTTCTCACACTCTTCGTGCTGGTTGCCACTGTTGGTACATGAGCACCAAATGGAGGTGTCCAAGCTTGTGTTACTTACGTAGTTTGGCGTTAAGATGGTACCTGTTACAACACATTTTCCAAAGTTCAGTTAAGTATCTGATTTGAACATTGGAGCCAAAAGGGTGAGATGGGGTGAGGAAAGAGTGCTCAGGGGTGAGAGGGAGGAAAGAAACACAATGCATAAAGTCTGTAGCCCTCTTCTAAATTTATGTTTAAGCACAACTGGAAAATAGTTTTCTATTAGAATTACAGCATTCTAACTCAACACGTCTTTCCACAATATCTGGCACTGCATCTTCTGACACATGTGTTCCTCAAGTCTCATTCGCTCAGAGGAATACAAAACACTCTCCCATATCTCAGCCACTCCATAGTGCTCGGTGGTACTTCACTCACTGCATGCCCTATGACTAATAAACCACCCTGACCTATAATCTGGTTCTATTATTGGAAAGCTGCAATTAATAGCAAACTCGATGCATAAATGCACGCATGAAGGAGAAGGGAATGGAGAGGGGTTAAGAAAGCGGATTAGGATGGGTGGAGGATTATGTGCGGTATAAATACCGTCAGGGGACTAGTTGGGCTTCTTTCAGTGCTGGGCAATCTATATAAAATTTGTTTTTCAATAGTACAGATTAGACTCAAATGTCAATGAGCTGACAGTGTTTGTGTCCAACGCCTTGGGAAGGGATCAAAAGAAGGAAACGGCACTGCATGCTTTTGTTTACTACACGCACTCTACAGGGTGGTCCAAACCTTCGGCTGCTGAGGGCCGGATGCCTTGTTTGAGAAGTGTCCACAGGCCCCATAAGCAACATTTTTGTGTTTCCCTTCCAGAAACATAACATTTAGAGGTTATGGAGGGAGTGGGTGGGCCAGATGAAATGGAGGGAGGGGGGAGGGAGCAGGGGATGAAGTCTAGAACATGTGTATGCTTAATGAAGATCAGAGCCAGGCTGCTTACCAATGAGGCCAGTGTAGGACTGCAGGCAGGTAGCGTAGCTCTCCCGGAAGCAGAAGCTCACAGACTTCTTGGATGGTTGGCAGCTGGTCTGGAAGTCTGCTAGACGGGATCTATCAGGAGGAGAAGAGCCAGAGAAGAGCATTCATACAGAGAGAGTCCCTCCAACAGGCTGCCCTCTGACAACCAGGGCAAGAGCTGAACAATGTTGTACCAAAATTTCAGGACGACAAGCCAGCAAATCATATGGTTGCATCACAAGCAGAGTGAGTTCACAGCCTCACAGCTGGAAGAGCCCAGAAAGAGCTGGAGGTCACCTCTGTGGTGTAGCTTGTGACTTTTTGTGGGACCTTGCACAGATTGCTTAAAGCAATTGCCTCCAAATATACTTCAGCTGAAATTACCTGAGAAGCGCTTGTGATGTTTTGTTGTTAAAGATGCTATATCAAAGGCAAAGATTATTATTAACTTCTAAGAGCAGGCCAGATCATTTGATCCTCTAAAGTCATCATCCATTTGCTTCTTTCAAATTTAATGGGGATGCCTCTGTAACTCAACCAACTGAGAGCATTCTTGCCCATGTCAGAAGGTTGTGGGTTCAACTACAACATCAGGATCTTCAGCTCACAGTCTTGGCTGACAGTACAATGTTGGCGGGTGCATTGCATTGTCAAGGGGCCTTGCTTAGGGGTGAGATGTTAAACCAAGGTCACTTCTACCTGTTCAGGGGACGTTAAAGCACAACTTGAAAAGAGAACATTCCCCTTGTGACCTGGCAAACATTCCTATAGATAAAAATTATCATTTACTTTATGGCTGTTTCTGGGACACTGTTGTGCAAAATTGGCTGTTGCAAATACACAGTCACTATACTTTACTGTAAATCCTGAGAGCTGTATTGATGAAATTATAAGGTACAGTATTTGAATGCAAATTTCTTGCAGTTAAACATCAACAAGACAAAGCCATATTCTTTGGCTCCCGCTGATGTCTTCTATTCTGTGGTTCCGACCTCATCAACCTACCCGATCTGTCCTTAAAACTCTCTGAAGCCATGCACAACTTAGGCCTCAGGTTCAATCCCAGTTATCCTTCCTCCCCCACATCCAGTCCCTGAACAGGTCAGCTTTCCTCCACAACATTGCCCGTCTCTGACAATACCTCACTCCACAAGCTGCTGAAACCCTTGTCCACGCCTTCGTCACCTCTCGGCTGGACTACACAAATGCCCTCATCACTGTTCTCCCCTCCTTCACTATTCACAAAATTCAACTCATCTAAAACTCTGCTGCCTGTATCTCACTCATATTAAACTATGCACCCCGATTACCGCAGTCCTTGCCAAACTCCACTGGCTCCCTGTCACAGAACGGATCAACTTTAAGATCCTCTAGTGTTTAAATCCCTCCATGCTTTGGCACCCCCCTATCTCTTTAACCTCCTCTCTCCTCACAGCACTACCCGCTGCCTCCACTCTACTGGCTCCGGCCTCCTCCTTATCCTTCGAATCCTCCGCTCTACCAACGGCAGCTGTGCCTTCAGCCACTACACCTCAAAGCTATGGAACTCCCTCCCTCAATCCATTTGCCTTGCCCCCTCTTTCCCCATTTTCAGGTTGCGAATCCAAGGGTCATTACTCTAATCAATCAGCCTACCTGCAAACCACATCTTTGTTGCATGCCTCCTGCAGACTCAAGCAGTTCTGCTTCTCTGGCTCTTCAAAGGAGCAGGCAGGGACGATGGTCTGTCGTCGTCGCTCAGCGCATACGCTGTCCTCACAGGGGCAGAAGAGAGCCGTGTAGCTGTACTCCACTGGCACCCGGTCAAAAAATCTGCGCAAACATTTGTGGCACTTGCTCTTGTTGCAGCCGAATCTTGAGGAAGGCTTCATGCAGAATTTGGCATACTCAGTGCGGAAATGCTTGCAAGTCTCATCCACGTTGCACACTTTAGCAGCGTCCAAGCAGTGGTTCACTCTGGTGGTCAGGTGAGTCTCCGAGGCTTCTGAGAAAGGATAGGAGTGTTAAATAGAAAACACCAAAGAATGGCACCATAGATGACCAGACCCTAGTGCAGAACCACATAAACGAAAACCCAGCCTATTTGGTTTGGTCCACAATTTGATCCCTTTTAGAGAATGCAAGATCACAGCAATTTCTTTTCATCTTTTATGTGAAAAGCGCTATATCAAATGCAAGGATTATTATTATTATTATCTTGATTTGAACCTAAATTTAGATTTACCAAAGCTCAATCTGATCCCCACGAATAAAACAAACTATTAATTGGAATACCAGTTTGGCTTAATTAATGGCACTCTCGCTTCTGGATTATAAGATTTTGTGTTCAAGTCCTGAATTGAATTTACAATCCAGGCTGACATCAGTGAGCAATGCAGCGCTCCCCCAGTGCAGTAGGGGAGCACTGCATTGCGAGATCCATTGCACTGCACTGCATTGCACTGCATATCCGTCCTTCTGAACAGATATGAAACTGAGGACCTTTCTGCTAGTCCTCAGGTGGACGTTAAGCTCCATTAATACCATCTGAAAAGTGAAAATTCTCCAGATAAATTACTTTATGGCTGTTTACGGGACTCTGCTGTGTACAAAATGATTGTGACATCTGCCAAATTATTCTGAATAAAAATGAATGTAAGAAAACCTTTGAAACATTTCAGCGTATAAGGTGCTACAGAAATACAGGTTCTTTCCTCATAATTTTTCCTTTATTCTTATTTTCAGGCTCTCTACCCACCTCCTCCGCCCATTCCAGCACACAAATCCATTATCTCATTCAAGTCATTATCGGGCAGACAATCAGCCTGTTTTTAGGCTTCTGACTACCTGGATCTTGATCAAATCTTTGAGTGGTGTTTGACTCTCTCCTGTCCACCCTTTGCAGCGATAGCCCTCACCAACAACAACAAATTGCATTTATATATCGTGTTTTGTATCAGGAGGACATCCTAAGGTTCTGGACAATAAGGGGTTTGCACCCAAGCTGCAGATTGGGATCAGCGAGGGGTGGAGGGCAAGAGGGAAGGAGGAGCGAAGATGACCGAAGGCATGGTTCAAAAAGAAGGTCTTTGGATGGGCCTTAAAGGAGGTAAGGAGGGTGGGGAGGGGCTCCGGGATGGAGTTCCAGAGTGTAAGGGCAGAAAGGCTGAAGGCCTGACCGCTGATAGTGGAGCAGACAGGGTGGGGGACATAGAGCAGGAGGACCTTTTACTTATTGCTCAGTTTATTACTTATTTATAAAATCCCACAGCAACTCTGCTAAACTTAGTGAGTAGAGCAGAATAGCCAGAGACAAAGTTGTGAGTGTCTGCAAATGGGTACTGGGGCCTCACGGAACCTCCATCTGCTTTAGAAGTTCTACTTCATATTTCCATCCAGCTGAGATCGGGAAACAACAGGGCAGCTCTGGAGCCTCAATGTTCTGCAGCGACGGGCTGCCCTGTACCATTTCCAAAGTGTAGTGAATGTTGATGTGAGTAAGGCCATTTTCCACTCAAGTTTAAGGGAATTGTTGTTGGATTTTATTAATAAGTAATTACATTTTATATCGATTGGGACTTTTTAAAATATATATTGAAAATGCATTACAACAACAACTTGCATTTATATAGGGCCCCTTCATGCAAGTTGCGTCCCAGAGCGCTTAATGCATGAATGCTTAATGAAAATGCATTAATGAAAATGCATTAAGTTATTTAGAAACGCATAGAGACAAGTTAGCAAAACATAGTGAGTACTGGAACAGAATTAGGTCCTTAGAGTGAATTCAATAGCCAACTGCCTCACAGCGAATCCTGGGAAAGAGGGGCAGGTGGTGGAGGCTGGGGCCACACTTGGGTGTGGGAGGTCACTCTTGGAAGGGAGCAGCTGGGCTTGAAGGGAAAAGGTCATACCCAGAGGTGAAAGATCATCTAATACTCGGGTTTGTTTTCCTCATGCTTTGCATAGAATGATGCAGTGTCATTATGTGAAGCATTCTGGAACATTAGCCTCTCTCTTTCAGATGTTGGTTGAACAGCATATTAGTTTTATTCTTGCAAAGAAGTTTATAAAACAACAAATGCACAGAACAATGAAGCACCACATCAATGCTTCCCTTCCACAGAGCATATACAAAACACCCTGCCATAGACATCATCCTTCTTATTTAATCTCCTGAGGGAAAAATAATTCAGCAAACCCTCTAAAACATCTATTTCATTTCCTCAATACTTCCCTCAGGTTTTGATTAGTTCTAGCTGCTCGCTTTCCATTGATGACCTGTCTGGGGTTCAGATAGGAATTCTATTCCATTCTAAGTAAGTGAAACATGCCACAGAAAATCCACTCCAGAAGCAGAGTGGATTTCTCACAGATGGATGTGATGTGACGTGCTTCTGGTTACCAGAAGTCTCTTCATGCTCAGATTTGAAAGAAGGGGTGAGATGAAGGGAGATCAAGTGAGGAGTTGCCGAGATTGGGGGCAGATAGGCTGGTAAGCACAATAATCTGTCATTCATTTGTGGTACCTTGTTGGAGCAAGAAGCTGTCCTAATTGTCTACAAAACCAGACTCTACACAGCCATTTCTGTAAGGGTCTCTGAGATTTTTTGACGTGATAGTTGTACAATTTGTTACAAAAGGGAGGAAACGTAGGATGTGGTAGCGCATTGTCATGAGTGATATTCTACACCACATTTTTCTCTACAAAGTTTAATAAATAATAATAATAGCAATTGATATAGCGCCTTATCACATCTTCGAGACGTCTCAAAGAACTTCACAGAATATACTGAAAAGTGAATTGACTGTGTATTTTGTGGGCGAAATGCGGCAGCCAGTTGTGCACAGCAGTGTCCCATAAACAGTCATGGATTGAGTGACTTATTTAAAAAAATATAATAATATGCTACTAATAATAAATAATATTATAATAATAAACAAACACAGCACAAAAAATTAGTCTGAGCTTTAAAATGCATCGCAATGATCTTTGTTTGGTGCAGTACCTGAAACCAAGGCAGCGAGTCTCCCAAAGTCCAGGCCCCAGGATGGTCCAGCCGTTGAATATTCATAGGGTGATGCTTCAAAATCATTGTAGCCTACAGCAAAAGAAAGACAGGACAATGCTATCAGTTAGCAATTTGCTCTGGCAGATTGGGCTTTCAGTATCGTTATCATTTCCAACAATCTGGCCACGAGCGGCTGACTGGCTTCTCTTATACTAATATTTTGTTCACTTTGTGCCATTGATTCATGATTGTTGCGAACATGAATGACTGTCCCAAGTCACTTAACTTAGGGCTAGGGTTCCTTTCCCAACAGCTGCGCGAGAGATGCGATCACCTTGTTCTCATCTGTCTTCCCCATCCCCCATCTGCTCCCAACTGGACTAGATTCAAACAACAACATTGAAATGAGAAGAGCTCCTCCTCCCATCTGTCTTTTCTCCATTCAGTGTCACATCCTTGAGCTAGAAAGAGCTTCTGATCCAGGATTTATAATGATGGAATCAAAATTGGTGCAATAGTTATGGTCTTTCTCAAAATAGACTTGTTTAGATTATGATTGGACTGTCAAAGGAACTGAAAAGTAAATTATGCCATATTTTACTGTGTGTGTCTCAGTGTCAGTTCCTGAATTCATGTGTAATTTTGTTGTTGGACATGTATACCATTTGAAAGAGTATGATAGACTCTCATGAAAGCCTACTGCATGGACTGTGTACACTTCACTTACAGTATAATGATCCATTTGTACATATTACATAGCTCTCCAGCTCTGTGTGTTGTGTGCGTGTGGTCTGTGGTATGTGGGTGTTTGGGTGTGTGCGGTGTGGGTGCGTGCGGTGTGGATGTGTGGGTGCATATGGTCTGGGCCTGTGGGTGCGTGCGATATGGGGGTGTGGGTCTGTGGATGTAGGTGTGTGGGTGAGTGGGGTGTGGGTATGGGTGCATGGGTGTGGGGATGTGGGCGTTGTGGGTGAGTGCGGTGTGGGTGCGTGTAGATATGGTGTGTGGGTGTGATGTGTGTGCACGTTTCTGTATGTGCGAGTATGTGTGTATGTATTATCTGTTGTGTGTGAACATGTATACGATTTACAGTTAAAGACAATCCTCTTGTTCTGGGTTCATAGCAAATTGTGTCTGTTACACTGACCAGTCCTCAGATGCCAATTTCATCTCTGACTTCCATTGCACCCAAAGGAGATTCTCAATCACTAGCAGGAGATGGCGCCTGAATTCTGCTTCATTTGAGTGCTTATTCCCATGGAAATTGGGAATTCCATTAGTTAGTGTTAGTGATTAACAAGGAATAAACCCCAGTATCTTTTCCTCTTATATAATATAATAATAATAATCCTTGCATTTGATATAGCGCTTTTCACGTCGGGAGGACGTCCCAAAGCGCTTCACAGAATAGACTGTAAAGTGAATTGACTGTATATTTGTGGGCAAACGCGGCAGCCAATTGCGCACAGCAATGTCCCACAAACAGTCGTAGATTGAAAATGACCAATTTATTATTGTTTTTTTTGTTTTTTTGGAGGGATTATTATTATTATTATTATTATTATATCTCCTCATTGTGCCTCAATCTTTCTCCCAGACTGTCTCTAATTACTCCGTCTCACACTATTCCTTCTCTCTCCCTTTGATGTTCAAGAATTTCTCGCCCCCTACATTCGTAACTGTCCTTACTCCCTCATGGTGTCTCACACTTTCTGCCCCATCCCACTCTCCTCCTTTGTCCTTCTCTTTGGTATCAGACTGTCTCCCATCCTATCAATTAATGGCTTCCTTTTGTCCTCTTGACCCTGCCTACCTGGGACTTGGCTTTGGTGCATGGTCCAGTATATCCTCAGGCATCTCTTCTCCTTCTTCATGCCCTTTTTGCACTTGCAGACAGAGAGTGGGCTTGACTGGAGTGCAAGAACAGTGTTCATGCACTCGTTTCTAGCATCGTGCTCCAGGCGCTGGACCCCATTGCCGGTCAGGCATTGCTGTAGTGTTCGGAAATTCGTGCTGCAGCTCGGGTCCTCGAAGCACAGATTTGCGGCTGTCAGACAGTTGGTGTCACCTGTGAATTCTTGTGCCAGAAGGAGATCTGTGAAAGACAGTGAATAAGGTTTATCCTGCAACAATAGTAATAATAAGAATCCTTGTATTTGATATAGCACCTTATCACGTCGTTGAAATGTCTCAAAGTGCTACAGAATAAACTGTATATTTTGTGAGTGAAACAGGGCAACCAATTGGGCACAGCAGTGTCCCATAAACATTTGTGGATTGAATGACCACATTTTTTGTAGGATCATTGTCCCCAGAAAGCAATCCATCAACCAATTAACAACCGGGTTCCTACTTACTGCTAATAGAGGCGTGTGGAGTAAGGAAACTTGCCTAAGATTTCATCCTGCCCAGGAATCGAACCCGGTTCCTCTCACTTGCGAGATGAGTGCTCTAACCAATACATTACAGAACTCCACATATGTTAGAGGAGTGAGCTATGAGCAATGATTAGACAAGTGAGGATTCTTCAGTCTTGAGAGAAAAGGCCTCAGAGGGGAAGTGTACACAATTTTAATTGGGAATGAAAAAGTAAACCGAGATCAATACTTTAGGACGTATCAAGTAGAGCAAGAGGACATAGGTTTAGAGTCGTAAAAGGCAATTTCAGGACAGTTACCAGGAAGTTTTTCTTTACGGTAGGGTAATAAACAACTGGACAAGTTTGCCAAAAAAAGTGATGAAGGCCAGGACAGTAGACTCATTTAAAAATCAGCTTTTGTGGGGATGGTAGGGTGGGTGTTCTGGAGGGAGGGAGATCGGATGAGTCAAAGAGCTTTCTTCATCCACCAATCTTGGGATTTTGTGAACAAATCCCAATCAGAATATGTGGACATATGTGTGCCTGTGCTTTTCATCAATGCTGATCAGGTATCAGTATATTCTGTGAAGCACTTTGACACATCTCAACAATGTGATAAGGTTCTATATCAAATGCAAGTATTATTATTATTTTTATAATAATTATTTAAACCCTATGCCAGGACTTCAAACTCACAATATAGGCTGACACAGAGCTGGAGGGAGTGCTGCATTTTTTAATGTGCCGTCCTTCGGATGAGGAACGAAACCGAGGACTCCTCTGCCTGCTCATGAGGATGTTAAAGATCCTATGACTATTTGAAAAGAGAAGGGAGTTTTTCCCCCCGTGTCCTAGAAAATAATCTTTCAAGGCATAGAGAAAAATTGGTCATTCACTTCATAGCTGTTTGTGGGATATTGCTGTACGCAAATTGACTGCCACACTGAGAGTTACATAGAGTGATACTGCACAGAAACAGGCTATTTGTCCCAATTAGTCCATGCCCGTGTTTGTACAGCACACCAAGCCCCCAACCCTCCTATTCCCCTCTATTGCTGTCTCCCTCAGTGTACATCAAGTTTTCTCTTAAATACGTTGATGCTATTTGCTTCAACGAGTTTCCAGCAGTGAGTTCCACCGTCACTACATTTTAGAGTAAACCCTGTGAAGCTCGAGACATTTCTTCAATGTGATAAATCACTGTAACAAATAACAAGTTTATTACCATTATTTATTCTTGTCTCAGCTTCTGTGTGTATTTTAGTTGCAAATTCACCTCCTGTTGTGCACACCTGTGTGCCTATATGTGTCTGGGTATGCACACCGATGGTTGCTATGTTAACAGTGGGGGAAATCCTGGCAAAGCAGTGAGCAAGAACCTTCTTCGCCTAGGTTTCCTCTAAAATTACAGTCTAAACAGGAAGCAGCGAAGGGAACAAGGGTTTTCACTCCATCAATTTCTTCTCAGTAAGCAACGTTTAGTCCTGTGTTAAGTAAGATAGTAACAGTGAAATAACAGGATACATTGCAGTCGGTCTCCAGAGTGGAGGTTATTACAGTCCAGGTTGTCATCTTAATGTAGTCCTTCATCATTGGAGATGTTACCTTCAGATGAGACATTGAATCCAAATCACGTCTGCCTGTTTTGAGATGGACATGAAAGATCCCATACAACTATTCAAAAGGGAGTCCTGGCCAATAAATCCACCAGATTATTTGGTTATTCGCTTCATTGCTGTTTCTGCGACCTTGTTCCACACAAAACAGGCTGCTGCCATTACACAGTCACTACTCTTAACAGCAATTCCCTGTGAAGCACTGAGAGATGTTTCAATGTTACAGGCACGATATCAAATTACAAGAATTATTCTTATAATATTCTGTTTGTGTATGTTTGAAATCCACTGGTTGGGGGGTGGGGGAAGGGAAGCACAGATTGATTTTTATTTTCTGCTGTCAGGAAAATTGTAGTTGAAAAAAATAAGTCAATATATTTATATGTTTAAAAAAGATTTTAAAAATTACTCATTAAAATTATTTGTCGAAAATCAAGAAAAATAAACATTGGTTTCCACCAATCCTGGGTATGATTTACTGAGGAGGGATTCATCTTCTGCTCCACACAATTCCCACCACTGCACCCATATTCTGAATATAAGATACAGAGGACATGGCCCGCGATTGAATGTGGGTAAATTTAAAACAAATTTCAGTGAGCAAGTAGTAAATGAGAGACAATGGACAATGGAAGCAGAAAGCCTCGATTCTTTCAAAAGCAAATTAGATAGACTTATTTTAGGAAATAATATCTTGCAATACAGTATATCGTTTGGGACATACAATTCAAAGTTATCTTTATATAGCGCTTTTCACATCATGAAGACATCCCGAGGCGCCTGACAGTCAGAAATTTGGACCTGAGCAGGGGGATATGGGATCAGGGAGGGTGGAGGGCAGGGAGGGTAGGAGACATGACATGTGCATGTGACTGCCAGGATGGTGGAAGGCAAACTGAATGGACTTGGTCTTCTCTTGTCTCACAATTCTTATATACACTAATCCAATAATTTGTTTCAGCTCTAACCATCTCTATATGTGACTCAATATTTCAGATGTAATCTGAAGTGTGCAGCTGGTTCCAGAAAGCCTGCATACATACAGCAAAATAAGAACATAAGAATTAGGAGCCTCGATTCGGCCCCTCGATCCTGCCCCGCCATTCGATAAGATCATGGCTGATCTTCTGACCTAACTCTAATTACCTGCCCTATCCCCATATCCCCTAATCCCTCTTTTTTTAAAAAATCTATCAGTCTCAGCCTTGAAGATGTTCAAGGACTGAGCATCTACAGCCTGAGTGAGCATCTACAACTCTGAGTGAAGAAATGTTGCCTCAACTCTGTTCTAAAAGGCTGACCCTTAATTTTAAGACTGTGACCCCTGGTTATAGATTCTCCTACCACGGGAAACAGACCCTCAGTGTCAACTTTATCAGACCTTTAAGAATCTTATACTTTTCAATAAGCTCTCCCCTAATTCTTCTGTACCCTAGAGAATACAGCCCTAGTTTATTCAGCCTATCCTCATAGGTCAGTCCCCTCATCCCAGGAACTAACCGAGTGAATCTACGCTGCACCCCCTCTTGGGCAAGTATGTCCTTTTTTAAATAAGGAGACCAAAACTGCACACAATACTCGAGGAGCAGTCTCACCAGGGCCCTATACAGTTGCAGCAAGACTTCCCTACTCTTGTACTCTAAACCTTTTGCAATGAACGCTAACATGCTATTCGCCTTCTTAGTTGCTGCTGCACCTGCAAACTAACTTTTTGAGACTGGTGTACAAGGACACCCAAATCCCTCTGAACACTAGCACTATCTAATCTCTCCCCCTCTAGAAAACAATCTGTTTTTCTATTTTTTCTACCTAAGTGAATAACTTCACACTTCCCCACATTAAATTCCATCTGCCACCTACTCGCCCACTCCCCGAGCCTATCTATATCCCGTTGCAATCTTTTTGCATCATCCTCAGAGCTTACTCTCCCACCCAGTTTAGTGTCATCCGCGAATTTAGATACGTTACATTCAATGTCCTCGTCCTCAATGTATTCTTATAATGTCTAATGTTTAAGGGCACCAACTGGTTCAGGAAGCTAGAAATTTAAACAAATTCCACATCAGGTCAATGGTTCCTCATATGACGGTACAACCTTTCAGCCACGGCAAAGTGGACTTCCCATAAGTTGGCCTCATGCCAACTGGTTATCAGTGTATACCACCCTTTGCAAATTAAATTTGCAACACACGCTCAAACCCCAGGCTGTGAATTAATTTGGATTTTATGGACTCTCCCTGAGCTACAGTGGATGGATGCCAGCAGCACCCATTCTTCATGATGGCGCTTAGACAGTGAGCAGTGCAGGCTACTTTTGTGTGCAAACTCGATCCTATCCTAATCTAATTGCACATTCATAACAGGCAACTTCCTGTAGGCTCACTGGATGATAATAATAATTTGGTATCGTGCCTTTCATGTTGGGAGGGCACCCCAAAGAGTTTCACAGGTTAGACTGCAAAGTGTAGTGACTGTGCATTTGTAGGCGAACGCGGCAGCTAATTTGAGCACAGCAATGTCCCACAAACAGCCATGAAGTGAATGACCATTTCTCTTTTCAAATAGTGCCATGGGATCTTTAACTTTCACCTGACCAGGCAGACTGTTTAACAGAGGATAATGACCAGGATGACAAACACCGGCCAGGTTTCTCCTCTCTAGCCTGAGACCTATGAGGGGCATTTAAGGCACACCTGAGATCAGCAAACTCAACGCAGACCAGCAGAGGAGTTTCTGGTTCTCTGTGGTTTACAAGCCAGCTGTATCCACTAGACCTTTGGCGAAGCTATATGCTGGAATCTAATTGAGTGACTCGGTAAGTTTATACTGTATATGAAATAATGGAAATCAGTTACACGCTGGAATCTAATTGATGGTTAAGAGAATTTATATACAGAATAATTAATACCCACAAGTGCATTAGGAGCTTTAATCCAATTGAGAGGTTTGGATGATTTGTATGTAGAATAATTCATATCAGGAGTACTTTAGAGGATGGAATCTAATTGCCAAAATCATTAGAAAGCATGCAGATGTAGTCTTGAAAACAACTTGTTGGTATTTATTCCCAAGTCTGTGCCAACGGAGCTCTTGTTTCAACAGTCGTCACTCCATGACACAGTGGCCAAAGCAGGGAAGTCACTGCCTGCAAAACAGTGTCCACGAATCTTCATCACAGCTCACTGTGTCACTGCACAACTGCAACTGGATAACACATGCTCAAACATTCATTACGCTTGGTGCAGAACCATGCCACTGCCCCACTCAAAGAGGTAAAAGTACCCTCACTTGACATTAGGTTTTTGAAAGCAAAATTATTTCTTATCCTTTTTTTCCTTGATGAAGAGACTAAAATCTTGAGCAACACAACAGAATTGAAACTCAATGCTGGGTTGTGGGATGGTTCATTGCCTCATTGCCTTAATGTTTGCCGACAACATACACTGTCACCATGTGTAGGTAGGATGCATGGAATTCTCAGCTTGGTTTGGATACTTTTGAGCATGGTATAGGTTTCCGCATGTGTCAGACATCCAGCTGACCAAAAAACAAAACACTGTCACGAAACTTCGCAGTAAAAATTCTGTGAAAAGCTTTGAGACATTCGATGATGTGATAAGGTGCAACTAGGCGTCAGCCTGGCTACATCGGTAGCACTTTCACTTTTGAGTCTGAAGGATGTGGGTTCAAGCCCCATATCGTGATCAGCCCTCTCATTGGAGGCTGGGGTGGCCAATATAGTGCTGGTGAGTGCAGCATTGTTGGAGGGGTTGTGCTTTGGATGAGATGTCTCCCTGGACAGGAGGACATTAAAGAACCAATGGAACTATTTACAAATAGAAGGGAGTTTATCCCAGTGTCCCATCCAACAATCGCCCAGAGAAAAATAAACATTAACTTCATGGTTAGTTGGGGATGGGGGGGGGGGCATTGCTTTACTGCTGCGTTCACTGACAAAATGCACAACTTTACAGTAAATCCCATGAAGCGCTTTGAGACGTCATGTGAAAGGCACTATATCAAATGTAAGTATTGTTAATACTGTCAATTTTGCAAAAGACGGAAGGCCACACTGGCTTACTTGTATAAAAAATCCCAATACATACATCGGCCCAAACCACAATTCTTGTGATCCAATAGTTTTTATTTCCACTTTTAGCCCAGAGAGAAGTATCTCATCCATACACACACACACCCTGACAGCTAACACAAGTAGACAAAGAAGCGCTGAAACATCTGGAGAGAAATTGTGCTCGCTCCTATCAACAACAACTTGAATTTATAGAGTGCCCCTCACACGGGTAGCGTCCCAGAGCACTTGACAATGACAAGAGTACAACTCCGAGTCGGAAGTGAGGGGGGAGGTGACCGTAGGCATGGTCAAAGAGGAAGGTCTTTATCACTCCCATAAAATGTTATTTGTGAATTTTAAAGACAATTGTACAGTAATCTGCAATGGATCGCTTATACAACAGACAGCTGTGTGTGATTACTTCCCTGCTCGATCTCTTTATTGCTCTGTAACTGCATGACGTGATTTTTTTTGGGTTCAATTATTAACTCTTTCAGTGCCGATGCGGTCAGAGGCGACTAAATTGACACAAAATGAATGGACCCCAAGAAACAGCAGGACTCTGCATTTTACTGGTCTGAACCCCACACATTTTAAGATCTGCTGTCACTCTTGGGAGTGTGCGAGGCTACCTTCTCAATGTAACGTTTCACCCACAAAATACACACACAGAAAATCCACTTTACAATATATCCTATGAAGTGTTTTGAAACGTCTGAACAATGTGATAAGGCGCTATATCAACAATGCAAGGATTATTATTTCAGTCTGGAAATTATAGCCTGGGTCTGGCCTGGATTGGTGGGGGGTGAGAAGGGGGAGCAAATCTATAAATTGTGGAGTCCTGTAGCTCAGTGGTTAGAGCACTCGCTTTGCAAGCGAGAGACCTGAGTTCAATTCCTGGCAGAGGGCGAAACCTTGGGCAAGTTTCCTTACTCCACACAGAGCCTAACAATAATCCCTCCAAAACCAAAAACAATAATAAATTGGTCATTTTCAATCTACAACTGTTTGTGGGACATTGCTGTGCACAAGTGGCTGCCGTGTTCGCCCACAAATATACAGTCAATTCACTTTACAGTGTGTTCTGTGAAGCGCTTTGGGACGTCCTCCCGACGTGAAAGGCGCTATATCAAATGCAAGGATTATTATTATTATAAGGAGCATTTGGGGCTTTTCTAAAAAACCTGGTGAGACACTTTGTGGCACAAAATAACCAAACCAGTATAGTCTGGACATTCAGCATTGTCTATGTCGGCAAAACATCAACACTGTAATTTGTAAGTATCAAGTTCATAAATGACCCTAAAGAAAATCATTAGAATAATCTTTGCATTTGATATAGTCCGTTACCACATTGTTGAGACATCTCAAAGCGCTTCACAGAATATATTGTAAAGTGGATTGACTGTAATTTATGGGCGAAAAGCAGCAGCCAATTGAGCACAATAGTGTCCCACAAACAGTGGTGGATTGAGTGATCAATTTTTTTCTAGAAAAAAACAGCCAGAGTCGCTCTGAATTCATTATATTTTCTCTCTCTGGGGATTGTTGGTTGGACACTGGGATAATATCCCTTCTGTTTGCAAATAACGCTATGGGTTCTTTAATGTCTACCTCAACAAGACACTTCGATTCAATATGTCATCCAAAACAACACCTCTGACAATACAGCTCTGTACAGCACTGTTTTCATCAATTCATTAGGACCAACTGTCTCCCTTTGTGCAGAGACCTGGAGCTCGGGAGCCAACCGCAGCCTTCCCCCCACTGCAGCCATCAGCAACAGCCTCTCCATCGCCACAAGGACTCGGACATATTTCACGTTCGTTTTTTTATTTAAAAAAAATACGCACTTTCATTCAAAAAGGATTAATGGGGAAAGGAGAGAAGGCTGAGGGAAACCACAAGAATATTTGGTTACATTTGAAATAAAAAAATATAATCTCTATTCGGAGTTGGGTTTGGGAGGGAGACTTTTTAAAGTTACTGATTTAAAAATACACCGTCTATAAACCCCAACTGAGATAAGAGTGGGAAGAGGTGTGAATAACCGGTAGCAGTGCTGTGGGGCTGTACTCACTCAGTACTGTCAGGGCAACGTACACCCGCGTAACCATCATCGCTGTGGCACTGACTCGGCTGCCGCCGCACTCCCGGAGCTGCTGATCAGTTTCGTGTCAGTTTCAGTGTCTCGCTGTTCCCTTTCCACACGCGCTGTGCTGAGCCATGACTCCGGGGACCGCTCCACAGCGCCGCGGCTCTCAGAGCGCACACACACACACACAAAAACTTTAACAATTTAGCAAACAAAACAGACACTCGATCCGTGCAGCAGCGCGACCTCCTTTCAAAGTGTCAAAGCTCAAAGCGACGCCTCTCGATTAATTAATTCTTCCTCCAGATATTTTACAACACAAAATCCGAACTATTTGCTGCCAATTTTGGTGACGATTTTCGTTGTTTCCGTCCCTCCTGTGGCTGCTCTCCCCCTCTCCGCTCCCCCTCTCCCCCTCTCCCTCTCCCCTCTCCCCCCCTCTCCCCTCTCCCTCTCCCCCTCTCCGCTCCGTGTTGCTGTTGCGGAGTCGGTCGGTCGGTCAATGAGAAGCCAATGCGTTGCTCTCTCTCTCTCTCTCTTTGTGTGTCCGCCTCCAGACTGCACAGTGTCGCCAGTGACCCACGTGCGGACAACTAACAGCCGTCACTGCGCCAAACAGGTACCACCGGTCACAGGCACAGCTGCAGCAATCAGCACAGAGAAACCTCACATAAGTCGTATCAATTGGGACCATTGAATATTGAACATTGAATATGATTTATGCAAAAAACGAGTTATGTAAAACAACAACAACAACTTGGATTTATATAGCGCCCTCCACACTGGGCGGAGTCTCAGAGCGCTTCACAGTAATGGATCCCAGGCAAACCAGGGGAGGGGGAGGAGCCGGGGGAGGGGGAGGAGCCGGGGGAGGGGAGGAGCCGGGGGAGGGGGAGGAGCCGGGGAGGGGGAGGAGCCGGGGGAGGGGGAGGAGCCGGGGGAGGGGAGGAGCCGGGGGAGGGGAGGAGCCGGGGGAGGGGGAGGAGCCGGGGAGGGGGAGGAGCCGGGGAGGGGGAGGAAGGTGACCAAAGGTTCGGTCGAAAAACAAGGTCTTCAGCAGAGACCTGAAAATGGGAAGGGAGGGAGTGAGACGAAGGGAGTGGGAAGGGAGTTCCAGAGCCTCGGGGCATAGTGGCTGAAGGTACGGCCGCCAAGGGTGGAGCGGAGGACTTTGGGGATGAGGAGGAATAACTAAATGGAATAATTATTATTAGCTAAATGGAATAGGAAATTCAACGGGATTTGGTTAGATGTACGACTTAGGCAATTATACGATTTATACAGATCAAACTTATGTTTTACTGTACCAATACTCAGGAGGGGGGAATCATAAATATGGACCCTAATAAAAAGAGTGGGGTATTTAAAACCAACCAACCCCACTAACTAACCCATATTGGTTTTCTCACAAAGATACTTCTCACTGAAATTCATTCTGTTTACCCAGAACCAAGTAAATGCCCCAATGTCTCCTTGCCAGTGCAAAACATATATAAGTTTCGCCCACAAAATATACAGTCAATTCACTTTACAGTATATTCTGTAAAGCACTTTGAGACATCTCAACTTTACAGTGATAAGGCATAATATCAAATGCAAGGATTATTATTATAATTCCTCGTTCCTTGTGCTTTGCGATCATGTTACTCTCTGAGTGGAAATCAAAATGGCACCTTTCCCCATTAGAGACACAACCCTGTTTTTCTCCTTGCTGTACTGTCAGAACACGGGGTCCCTCTCCCCTCTACCACCCCCTTCTCAGGAGACTAAGTCACGATTGTCATTGGCTAGTCCATGCTTGTCCACATCAAACATAGTCCAAACATGGTCTAAACATGGAAAGAATAAATATAACAATAATCCTTTATTTCATAAAGTACCTTATCATGTTGTTGAAGCATCTCAAAGCACTTCACAGAAGATCCTATGAAGTGAATCGTATATTTTGTGGGCGAAACATGACACCAATTGCACGCAGTGGTGTCCCACAAACAGTTAGGGTTTGAGTGACCAAATTATTATTATTTTTATATAAAAAATAGGATACAATATAATTTTATAAAATATAATAGGATGATGCATTTTGTTCCTTCTATGCTTTATACCTTGCACATTTACGACAAGAACAAAAAATTACATTTGTATAGCGTCTTTCACATCAAGAGGGCGTCCCAAGGCACCTGGAAAAAAAATTACTGAAAACATCCTGGATTAAACTCCTATAAACTACAAACTAGATTTATTTTTGCTGCCAAATAAGCCTTTATTTATTGACACCTAATCTGTTGTGACCCACAGATATCCAATTAGGACAGGAACCGCCTTTGTATTCCTATCATACCATGTGGATCATCTATTCTATCTAATGTGCGTAATATTATAAATACTATTTGACTATTTCCAGTTCATTTTCTTCTACTGATCTCACATTTGATCTATCAGCCAGAGTCCTTAACTATTTTATCTCTCAATATCTCATCATATCTCTCAATCCCTTCTCCTCTGAGAAACCCATTTTTAACCCATTTTTACTGTTTACTTCAAAGTCATCTCTGGCAACTAAACTTGTTCCACAAGGTTATTGCCCTATCCAGTTACTGTCAGATTTGCCTTCTTACTCTTTGCTTCCTAATATTACATTTAAGGTCCCCTGGGTCTGAAAACTGAATACTTTTCTCAGATCAGCCTTGTCAACCTCCTGTGACATTTTGAAAACTTCTAACAGATCATTTCACAACAACAACAACAACAACAACAAGATTCCATTTATAAAGCGCCTTTCACGTCAGGAGGACGTCCCAAGGCGCTGCACAGTTGGATCATGACCCGAGCAGGGGGGAAATGGTCAGGGGGAGGGAAGGAGCGAGGAGGGGGGAAATGGTCAGGGTGAGGGGAGGGAAGGGAGGGAGCGAGGAGGGGGAAGAGAGTCGAGAGGGGAGCTGAAGGCTCGGTCAAAGAGAAGTAGGCCATTCAGCCACTCGAGCCTGTTCCGCCATTCTATTAGATCATGGCTGACCTGTACCCCAACTCCAATTACCCGCCCTTGCCCCATATCCCTTGATACCTGACTTAACAAATATCTATCCACCTCAATCTTGAAAATGTGAATAGATCCAGCATCCTCAGCCTTTTGGGGGAGAGAGTTCCTGATTTCCACTACCCTTTGGGTGAAAAACTGCCTCCTGATTTCACTTTTGTAGGTACGAAAACAACAACAAAATTACATTTGTAAAGCATGTAATTATATTTGTAAGGCATGTAACTTAAGTTTGCCTACAAAAAACTTGTTACTAAACTTTACAGTATATCACGTGAGACACTTTGAAACGTTTTTGAGATGTCAAAGGCACGATATCATATGTAAGGATTATTATTATAATGATAATAATAATAGTAATAATTAATAATAACCCAGTGATGGGTTTCGATATGTGTGTGACTGGTCTGCCCTTCCGGAGCCTGATGATGAGCCAGGCTGGGCTGTCATCAGCATTACCCTGGAATACTGTGGACCTGCCTAGTTCAGGAACTGAACTACAGACCATCACAGAGGGCTGGTTCGATTCCCATATTAATCGCTGATAGTCAGATTTAATATTTCTTGCTATTTATTTGTGTTTCGTCCACAAAATATACAGTCACTACACCTTACGGTTAATCCTGTGAATTGCTTTGAGATGTCTCAACAACACGATAAGGCGCTATGTTAAATGCAAGGATTATTATATTATTATAACAAATATTATTAAGAACAGGTATCATCTCTCCCATTCTATGACTTCTTGACTTACTCAATAACCATCAGTGTAGAACCTTACTGAAAATCCAATTACTTTACATGCTGTCTAGAAGCACTGTGAATTGCTCCTAGATATTTCCTATGTGAAGAGGTGCTGTATAATATAATTATAATCGTTGGATTTGATATGGCACTTTTCATGTCTTTGTGTTTCACAGCGTCTCACAGCTGTATACTGTAAAGTGAATTGACTGTAAAGTGAATAGTTGTGGGTGAAACGCGACAGCCAATTGCTCACAGCAATGTCCCACAAACAGTCGTGGATTGAAGTGACCAATTTTATTATTGTGTTTTATTTTCTTGAGGGATTATTATCAGGCGTGTGGAGTAAGGAAAGTTGCCCAAGGTTTCACCCTGCCAGGAATCGAACCCAGGTCTCTCGCTTCCGAGGCGAGTGCTCTAACGACTGAGCTACAGGACTCCTACTTATCAGAGTGTCAGTGCCTGTGAGACCCTTGGCCCTTATTTTGGCATCAGCCATGTTCATCCTCTCTGTTGGAGACTTGGCACAAGATTCCATAATAACTGTAAGCAGAAAGTTTTGATTCTTTCAAAGCAAATTAAATAGATTTATTTTAGGAAACAAAATCTCAGGATACTTTATATAGTTTGGGATATGACATGTACATGCGATTGCCAGGATGGTGGAAGGTGAACTGGATGGACCTTGGTCCTCTTTTGTCTAGCAGTTCTATAATATATAATAATCATCCTTGAATTTTGAAATACCACTTTTCACATCTTCTAGACGTCTCAAAGCATTTCACAGAATATACTGTAAAGTGAATTGACTGTATATTTGTGGGAGAAATGCGACAGTAAATTGCACGTAGCAGTGTCCCACAAACAGTCGTGAATTGAGTGAACAAATGATTTTTTTTAAAAGGATTATTATCCCCAGAAAAGCAATCTTCCAATCGACTAACAACCGGGTTCCTACTTACTGCTAGGTAAACAGAGGCATGTGGAGTAAGGAAACTTCCCCAACATTTCGCCCTGCCGGGGAATCGAACCCAGGTCTCTCGCTTGCGAGACGAGTGCTCTAACTGAACTACAGACTCCTACTGATCAGAGTGTTAGTGTTTGTGAGACCCTTGGTCCTTATTTTGGCATTCAGTCATGTTCATCCTCTCTGTTGGAGACTTGGGACAAGATTCCACAGTAACTGGAAGCAGACAGTGTTGATTCTTTCAAAGCAAATTCTTTTGCTCTTATGTAAGTTCTTATGTGAGGTGGGATGATGACAGTGATGAGCGATGACTCTTTTGTTTGTTACAGATGAGGTGCCTCATTGAACAAGAATTGAAAGTTGCTTTAAATATTTAAAGGCTGGTCACTGCAGTGACAATCCATGGGGCCACGACAAGCAGCAATGTCACATGATTGTCCTCAGCAGCTTGGAGATCACCACAAATCATTGGCTTCTATTACAAGTCCATTAGCTAATCCCTATGTAATGCACCTACCACTGGGGTTAATTACATGCACATCAAATTCCAATGCTGGATACACACACTGCTCACACTCACTGACACAGAATTTGTACACTCCTCACACTCACTGAGACAAGATACAATACAAAATGATATTTCTAAAGCACCTGTCACATCAGGAGGACGTCCCA